AGTGTCAGAAAGGCATGGCCTGAAGCATTGCCTAAGATTTTGAGGCGTGGGGCAAGCAGGGTTCTTTCTGGCACAATGCCACCTCAGCCACATGCCCATGCTGCTTCTCAAGACCTACAAATCATCTGTGCATTTTATATGAATTTATATCTTCTGCATAATTATACTGATCAACTCAAGTGTGCACCATCCAGGTAATATGACTTATTTTCGCTGTAAAAACACTGAGGCCTTCAGGTGAAGTCTGCTTTTTCACAAAATCCTATGAAAAAAAAATCAAGGGGCATCACTACGCGAGTGCATTGCCTTGTTCTCTGTCCTGACATTAAAATATCTGCCTACGATAAACTAATATGGGAACTTCCCGTTCCCTGTTTCTGATGATACGATCCTTAGGCCAGCACAGTTTGCCAAGGCCCCAGCTGCATTAAGTCCCTCTGAACATGAACTTTGTTCACTGGTACATAAGCAGTGCTATGATAGCAGTATTTTGACATTGCTATTTACAAAAGTACCCAACCTCATTTCCTTGGTTGGAGACATTTCAGAGCTTTATTATACAACGCTACCCAAGACCTATATTTATCTCAGAGGTGCTTACTTACTTCAGTTGACAACACTTTGCCATCTTTCAGTTTCTCACCCACACTATTTCTTCTTCTGAGTAGCTGATCCTTTTCTGCCTGGAGAACCTGAATTTTTTCCAGAATGCCCGTCTTCTCTTCACTGGTGCTGCCCTGAAGCTTCATACCTTTATCACACAGTTCCTCATCCAGCATACTTAAGCGAGTAGACCATTTCATACTATCTTTGTTTAAAGCCTAAAAGAAGTCACAGCAACCATAGATATAAAACTGAGATACTCCTTCCAGTAAGGAAAATGTAGGTGAGACCATCACATTCTGCAGTCAAACACTTGCCTGCTTCTTGCAATGGGACCCTGCTTGTTTTGAGTAGACAGCTTCCATCAAATTTACTGTCTACTCAAATGATGAAAGAAAACAAAAACGCTCAATGCGTTAAAACAATAAATAATGCAAAATGTTTCCGTGTCATGTTCTCGAGTTTGAAAAAGGACTGAGTCATTTTTAGATATCCTATTATTTAATACCATGTGATATGAGTCACATTATTTTGGGATGGTTGGAGGTTTTTTTGGGTTTTTTTGAGAAAAATTGAATAAAAATTATTATTCTGTATGATTCACATTTTAAATGTTGATTTGCTCAAACCACACAATAAATTCATGGCAGTGGTAGAGATAGTCACATGGCTTGAGCCCCTTCTGCTATCTACCTGCCTCCCCACCTCCCCCACTCCTTCAGTCAGCACTATAACTGTGGTGAGTGTCATGTTTTTTCTTAAATCACCTGGCTAGATCTCAGTTTCTTGATTTCCAGGTGGTTTTTCTCTTGCAATAATGCTTCTTTCTTGGCTACAATGGCTTCTCTTTTCTTTAAATCTTCTTCTAGGTCTGCTAGCTGTTGGTGCCGTTGCAGAATTCTTTCCATTTCTTCATTCAGCCATTTCTTTTGCTTCTCTAATGTCTAAAGTGTAAACAGAAATCCAAAGAGCATTAACCCAGGACTTTTGGGTCAGAATTTTATGATTAAGCTTTTCCTTTTTTAGAGTAATACAGAAAACTGTAGAAGAAATTGACATTTCTAATGTTAACATTAATTCTGCAACAGAATCTTGACTCAGAATAATACAGAAATTGGACTGACTTAAAAAGAGACTCAGCAATATTACATTGCTACATCTTGTATAAACAAATTTGTATTGGGTGCCTTCAATGGAATGTATTCTTTTTCTAATAACAGTTAGATAACATAACTAATAACATAAACAGCTGTCTTCTATATAATCACAGCAACTAGGTTTGGAGGGTACCACAAGAATTCAGCTAGCCCATCCTCATTGCATTATAGCTGCCCAAGACCAGCTATTCATGGAAAAACAGTTAGTGACAAGAAATTATGATGATGAAAGAAAGAAAGATAGCAAATGAGAGCTCTGATCCTGCTAGTGCAGTCCCTTATAAATTTATTCTGAAGCCACAGTTTACCACTGGATATATTACTGGTAATGCTAAAAAGTTGCCTTTATTTAACTTTTAAGAATTTCACCTTCAGAGACTTCAGGTAACTTTGGCAAATTGCAGCTTGATAGCAGGAAAACTTAAAACGAAAATATGACTCAACTTCACTCTTTATTTCACCGAATTCTTAAAGTTGGCAAGATTTACTAACTGCTGCCTAAATGATCACTCGCTATTTCTGTGGTTGCTGAGCTGTCTGGTAAAGTTGGCACAGACAGCATTAATCTCAAGCAACACAGAAAGGTAAAGATCCAGTTCATGATTCGCAACACAATGAAAGCAGTAAAATCCAACAGAAACCACAGCTCTGGAGAATGTGCAGAGACACAGTGGTGCCAGAATGCTGGTCCTGAGGTCAAATCAATGAGCCAGCTACCTCTTTCTGTGTGGTGCTTGTCTGACCCACTATTCTAGGACTGAGAGGCACAGAGCACCTAATCTGGCCCTACACAGAATTTACACTTAGGTATAGTATAGGTCATAAAACATAGAAGGTCAGTGCCAAACAAATATGACTGTATTTGGCCTGCTCTTGCAAAGCATCCCAGTGATTTGCTTAGAGCTGGAATTTATGTAGTGTTTTCATAAAACATCAATTTTCTTAATGGCAGGTAATAAACTTGTAACAGTCTCCTTGTTGAAGTTCTTTTATGATACTACATACAATGGTGTATGAGCATCTCATATCACCCACTTCTTTCTTAGTTTCTTATCAACCAAGAAAATTCTGTATGTATCTAACCACATATATGTTAAACAGAATTCTGAGTATAATAGTATTAAGTTTGTCATTAGCTACTTCAATCCAACGAGCTTCCAATGTGCAAGCCTGATGAGTTTTACAAGCAGAGTGTTAAGGTTTAAAAGGTGATAGTGAGACCAAGATTTGGTCAGATGGTCAGATCAGAAGTACCTGCACTTTCACCTTAGCTGCATCTGTCTTCTTCTGGAACTCTTTTTGTAACTTGGCTTTTTTTTTTTAGGAATGCCTGTTAGCTCCTTACTCTCCACCTCCTGAAGCTGCTTTTGTGTTTCATCTAGTTCCATTTTGGTCTGCTCAGGTTCTTGCTCCAGTTCAGTTATCTTCAAAGAATACCGCCTGCTTACAGACTGAGCATCCTTGCCTTAAAGACACCGAATCCAAACAGTTTAAAAACAGTGGGAAAAGCAGTTGACATGTAATACTTAACTCAGTAGGTGAACCATTACTTACTTCCTTCTCAATAAACCAATGATTTCTGAGACAGTTCCTTTCTAACTCTGAAATAAAGGAAGGCGTCTTAAACCTGAGTTCTTCATGTGTCACCTGATGTCACCAAATAAAGCGCCATGTGAGCACCAAATAAAGTTACAGTCTTCTGCCTAATGTAGTTTTTGCCAAAATGGCTCTCCTGTATTTCATAAATGTTGCTCTTTCCAGAAAATATGCCATTTATTTATTACTCAACTTTCAGCTTAATAATTGGGAAACAATTTTGGATTGTGTTTCTACTCTCTGACTTGTCCAGTTTGCGCAACCTTTCCCAAAGCACTGCTTTTGGGAGGGGCACAGAATCTTTCTCAGTGCCAAAAGACGACCTCAAGAGAAGGTATGCACAGGAGAAGAGTGTGATTGAATGGGCTGAGCAAAGAGATCTGTATTGTTATCATAAGGCTAATTTCTGTGATACAGGCACCAGGACAGATGTGTAAGGGCGGTAGGCTGATAGGGACCTTTTCCCTCACCCACTTCCGACTGCGGCTTCTCTGCTGCAGTGCTGGGAACACTTACATTCCCCTCACAGTGATCTATATTCTCTCCTATCCAGACACCATCTGACAAATACATGTCCACGAAGAGATCAGTAGCACTGAGCATACATGAAAAATTACAGTGTGGGTGGATGAAAGCAATATTCAGCAAAGCACAAAAAATGCTTAACAAGTACACCTGCGTATCATAGCAGAGTCAGCTGTAATAAAAATTTACAATCGTAGCAAGTGAGTAATGAAAGTTATGAAACTTTAAGTTATTAAAAGTTCTTGCATAAATTACAGACATACTAAGACACGCAGGACTTCAGAAGTTTTGTGCCTTTTCTTTTGTTTCTGAACTTCTTCATTCTATTTTACAGCAGTCAGTTACCAGTTCTTACAAAGTCCTTAAGAAGTTCCTCTTTCATTTTGATATGAAGTGCAAGTTATCGCATTTTTGCTCAGCCTCAGTGAGTCTCCACTCTGAGACTGTAATAAGGTTTGCTTTCATGACTTCCATTTTACCTGTGGTTGTGTCAGTCCATAATGCAGGTCTGCTGGATAAACCAGACTTGTCTGCTTGACACTTCATGTCACTCAGGTCAGGAAGAAAGCATGGAGAAGCCTGTTCTCGTGTCCATGTTCGGTTTATGGAATGCCTCAGGAAAAAGTAAAAGCATGCCACATGAAAAACACACAGAGATTGTTTTACTTTAAGCTTCCTGCAAAGTACATCATCTTAACAGCAAAGAATCCCAAACTCACATTAGCACTGGGTACCTTCTTCCCATCTACTCCCCAACCCACCCCCCTGATCTTCATGGTCGATTCTGGCCCCAAAACAAGGATTATGAAATCTTTATTAAATAAAAACCCTATGGTTATTAAACTTATTGTGTGATATGCCCAGCTGATCCCATAAATTTACCAGAAGTAACATCACAAATGGTCTCATCTTATGGCAGGATTAGGCAGTGGTACTACCTTGGCTCTACACTTGTCTATCAGAAGAATTAAAGAACCAAATAACTACTTAAGCGAAGTTTTCTTTTTGCTGCCTGTGTTTTCTTTCTCTTCATTGCTCCGATCAGGGATTGGGTAGTGAAGGACTTCATCCTGATCTTCGATGTTTCTCAGTACCATCTGTGTGCGAGCATGGAATTCCGCCATTACCCGGGCCAGGCAGAAGGGAGGGGGGCTGGTACACACCTGGCAAAAAGGACACCAAGAAAGTGATGGGTAAAACCACTTGCAACAATTGAGCAATTCTTTACTGATATTCAAAAATATTTCAGCTTAAACATCTGTCACCACTTGAGCTTGTATGCAAAATTGCAGAGGTTTTCTGCAATAGCTCTGAATACCTTGGTAACCAAAGGTCTGGCAAGAGTATAAAGCACTTGTCCCAAACGTGAAAGAAGTCATTGTCAGCAACTCGTTATCCAACATATTCAATATATTGGTAGGAATAATCACTCGGTTTTGATAATGCTTCGCATGTAAACCCTCAAAAAGCCCAGGGAAACACCAGAAAAGGCGACAGCTTTAGCACGTGTGAGTGACAACTTTAAGCCTGAACATTTTGGACAATTGTGGCACAGCATGTGTTGCAAGACATTGAAAAGGAATTTTTCAGAGTCTTCAGTGGGAAGCTAAACAGCATCTGAAAAAGCCACCATGATTTGTCACGCCAAGTCTCATAACTGAACCAGAACCACTACAAAGTAAAGGAGCCGGGGGGGAAAGGGAAAGGTGACATTTGGGTAGCCCTTACCCTTGGGGTCTGTGTCCCTGAAGGCGGGCACAGGGAGTGCCGCAGGCTCTCTGGGACACCCTGCAGCCTCCCTGCAGATGCCGCAGCAGCCGGTCCGTTTCCGCAGGCGCGTGAGGAGCCCGGAGGTTTCACATCTGCGGACTTCTCCGAT